CCATTTATAATACTTTAAAATATTCTTGGCATTATTTGAGAGCAAGAATAAGTAATTGAATTCATTAGAAAGATTTATAATAGATTAAAATATTCTTGGCATTATTTTAGAGCAAGAATAAGTAATTTAATTCATTATTTCCATTAATTTTTCCAATGTAAGTAAACAAAAGCGATTCCTATTCACGAAAAGTCCATTGTCTTTGAACATTTTTCATGCAGAAATAAGGCGGTATCCTATGTGGAAAGTGAATTAAATAGTCTCATTATGCACACCTGTATTGATATATTTTTCTCCGAGTCTAAGAGGCTCTTTTTATTAGTGTTTAGAGCTTCCTCAAGGCAGATATTTATATAAGTATATCTAGAGCTATTAGCTTAATTTGAAATAATCCTTGGAATGTCAAGTTTTTTGTTTTTAAGTCTTTATATCAAAATAATGTCTGAGAGAGGAACGAACGACAACTCTTCAAGGAGTTAGCCCCTTTCTCGGTTTTGCATTATGACGTCATAATACCTAGAGCGTCACAATGTTTACTAATGTTTACAGCTGAAATTATGTTAAAATTATACCAGTCAATGATAATACCAATTATTACATATGGATCTGAAGTATGGATAACTGACTTCAAATGTGATTTAATGTCGTCAGACCAATTTCCTTTTGAAAAAACACAACACTTAATATTTAAAGACATACTAGGGGTACATAGAAAGGCATCAAATCTTGCTGTTTTATGTGAATTGGGTCGTTTTCCTTTATACTATTTATGTTATGAATATATGTTTAAATATTTTAAGAGACTTAAGGAAATGGAAAACAAACATGATTATAATAATTATTTAGTGATTTCTGCATTTAAAGAAGACAAAAAACTTGTATCTAGAATATCTTGGCAAAGAAAACTGTCTTCATTACTACAAAAATTAAATATCACTTCTTTGGATATTTCTCACACAACCTTGAAAAACAAATTACAAGAGCATTACCAAAACAAGATACATGAACAACTGAAAAATATAAGCAAAACAAACTCTGAAAAGTTAGCTTTTTATAGTAAAATTGTAATTCAAAATGAATACAAATTGCAAAGTTATTTAAAGCTGCCTTTAAAGAAAAGTTTTAGATCTGTATTAACAAAATTAAGGATCAGTGCCCATCCATTGTATATTGAAACGGGCAGATACTGTAAACCCCCTATTCCTAGAGAAAAACGTTTATGCTATTCATGTAAATTATTTATTGAAGATGAAAAACATTTTGTTCTATACTGTTCAAAGTATGACCAATTTAGATGCAATTATACTGATATATTTAATGTAAACACATATACTAGTGATAATCCCATTAGAAAAATTGTCAATCCTACAAATATTACAACTGCTAGAAGGATATGTTGTTTTTTGAAAAAGTGCTTTGACACCAGAAAAGAAAGTCAGCAATGAATACTTAGAAATATGTGAATATACTCTACATTGTTTTGTTCAACTCACATTTGTCACTTTGTATATGTATGTATTATTCTTGTTAATTCGTTTTATGTCATGACTGTATGCCGACATGGTAATTGTCAATAAAGTGAATTGAATTGAAATACGATTGTTACGATTATACGCAGCAAATTGATCTTTTCTGACGGAGTGGTGGTCATTTTTTTTCTTCAAAGTTTGTGAAAGGTAAGTATTTATGATACTATTTAATGTTGACATCTTACAGATGATCACTCTAAACTCAGATTACAATAGATATTTTGATTCTGTCAAGAAATTATTTAAATAATCTATAATTCCTTACTTGAATAAAGAGTGCCTTATTCAAGGAAGTTTATTTATATTAACTTATTGTTTCATGAAAGAAATAACACATCACCAAAGCAATGTTTCCGGGATTTTCCTGGGTGTTAATGGGCATAATGGAGATAAAAAATGGATGGAGGAGAAAAGTAAATATGAAATTCTTACATTGTGAGATAATGGATAAAAGCTATACCGCATTGTCCCATTTGTGGAATTCTTTAATTGTTTTCTATTCAACTTCAAATGTAGGGTAATTTTGGGATCGGTAAAAGTATCATTTTATTTCAGATAACCATCGTGAAAGGAGATATATTATCATTGACCCACGTGATGCAGGAACAGATGTCGATACTGGTCTGCGAGAAGATGAGATCGAACATTACCATATACCAAGATGGATGTTTAGGGGTTAGATTTAAGTTCAGATCTCGACGTCCCAATTAGTCCTAGAGTCTTAGAAACATCGATATTTTTTTTTCTAGACGACGAAAAGTTGAACTAGTTAGCTAGCTAGTCTCTTTTTCTAAAAAGAAATTCGACGATTGTCTTTGACAAAATAGGGACTTATTCTTAAGAATCTTTTATGCAGGAATGAAACATTTTTATTCTTGCATGAAGTATAAGCTCTAACTGATTTTGATCATATTTGTTAAAAATGTATATTATACGAAGAATTATTCATACAGGAGATTATGATATGCATAAAATGCATATGCTTACAGACAAAAATGATTTTACTTTTGAATAAATTGTATAGGTATATTGTTTATTGTTTACGAAAATAAAAGATCAAATATCAATGTCTATCCCAAAGACATAATTTAAAATACAATAGAATGTGTTAATCTGAAAAAGATGTGCCGACTTACCACTGTAAGCGGGTCAATGGCTTCCAAATTAATTTAAATATGAGAGAACTGACTTGCATGTATATGTAATATGGTATACGAGTATTAAAGAGTACGATACATTTTTGTTGAAATTATCAACGAGATAACAAAACTTTAAGCTTCTGTTCTATGTGTTCAATGGAATTTCTATGTCCTTGTAATCATGGTAATTGTAGATTATAGGAAAAACCTCAAAAATATGGGAATATAATTAACATTCCTCTCCCCTTCATGTTTTCTTATCCTGACAAAAAAATACAGTATAAGAAAGTCGCAATTTCATTGTTCCCTATATACATGTATTTCATTGGAAAACTTTTTTTATAGTAGAAACTTAAGGTAGCTCCTTACTCGCGTGACGACATCAACAGTGATACTTTACTGAAAATATCTAATTATTAACAATAAATTTATCTTACTTTAAACCTTTTTAATGATATTGAACAAGTGCAGTGTGAATTTGATTGTATGTCTAAAAAGGTTTTGATCTTCAACTTCACAAAATGTTGTAATTGATGTGCATGCACATGCACATTGTACAACTTAATTCACGGTTCTTACAATATTTCCAATAATTACTAATTTCATAAAAATAGTAATGTATTTTTTTTCTTAAAATACGAGACTCTTACTGTGTTTCAAAACAAACAATTTTCTAAAGATATATGTTTCACTGAAAGTTTTCATGTTGATGTTGATTGAATTATGGAAGATATACTAGTACATGTTCTAGAAGTTGTAGGAAGAAGAAAAAAACGTGAAGTACAACATACTAGTATTCTTAAGGTTTTAAACAAAATCGATAAAAATCTAATATTTCAAAGAAAAAAGTAGGTGTTTAACCATGAAATTCTGAAAATATGTTTATAAATGTTAAATTGTGATAATTTGAAATTTTCCATTTAAGTATATTTTTCTCATAAATTTTCATCTTTTGTTAATATATTAATTAAAGTGATACTAATTGTGAACATTTAACTTGATAGAAGGTAAATTGACAGATTTTAAAAGTTATTTGCTTTAATTTTGTGTCTAGATCAGCCAAATATTTTTTTAGTTAAGATAGTATGATGAAAGAAGGGGGGGAGGGGGGTTATAAGTCTTCTAGAATTTCTGGTTAGAAACGGAACCTTTGTAGTGTATTTTGGGGGGATTTTTAAATACGTAAGATATTATTTCAATGATTCAAATGAAAAAAAACTTTTACAGACTCATAAAACGCCCGGGAGGGGGGGGGCATGGCCTACATTTTCTGGTAAATGTCATTTGGAAGCTGCTTGCCCCCCCCCCCCCCCCCCCCCCCCACACACACTTTTTATTGGCGTACGATCGAACACTGTAAAAAGTTTCAGCATTTGAAAAAAAAAGTTTGGGCGTTTCCTTTTTTTTGGTCAATTTTTGTTGGAGGTTTCCCCCTTTTGAAACACCTGCTATGGGCCTATTTTCACCAAAAAAATATGAAAACTGGGGTCCTTCCTTACCGGTATCATTCAAGTCTTGTTCTGCATTTACACTGGGTTGTAAAATTCATTAATACTAAAAGGGGCGTCGGCAAAGGGGCGGCAGGGGCGGTGCTCGCCGCCCCAATAATTTTCCACAAAAAAAAAAAATTAAAAAGAAATATGAATTTTAAATGAGAAAAACAAAATTACAAAATTTGTAATGGCAATATCTGTGGTCAATGGAGCGGCAAGAAGAGCGGTAATCTGTGGTCAATGGAGCGGCGAAGTGTGAAAGCTATTGTTTACACAGAAGCAAATTGGGATGTACGTGTACGTGTATAATTATAGTACCTGGCGTTTGTAAACAGTATCCATCGCTCTGAGTGCAAGTTTGCTACAAAGTCTTCATCAGGCCCACAGCTAACAACGTTTTTGGAAATTCTATTTTTGGGGGCGGGGTGGGGACTCTCTAAGTTGCCGGACGATTTCGACCTGACAGCAACAAAAAGTGTGTATGAAAGGGGGGCAGCAGCGTCTAAATTAATGAATTTCTGAATTTCTACATATCGAAACTTAAGCAAAAAAAAAAAAAATTCTCAGAATAAGTGGAGAAATTGGAGCCCCCCCCCCCTTCCTGACACCTTCCCCCGCGTATAACAGGCCTAGCTGTTCATTGTCTAATGAATTGGTCTATCGATGTTTGGAAGTTGTAAGCTATTACATTAAAGCAAAATACTAAAAATACTGGGTAAAAATAACTATTTGAAACAACTTCAGTTGATTTTTTTAAGGTCATACACTATTATAGGATATGTTCATGAATTATTTTAAACTAGCAACTTTCACGAGACAAGACCCAGGTGGATTTCCATATGTAAACAAAGGTAACGTTCTCAAGAAAGGGATTACAGCGCCTAGTTAAATCTTCTGTTACAAATCTTTTGCCGTACTGTCATCATGACATTGTCGCTGCTTGCTAGTTGTTGGTAAACAGGTGCAATTATTTCAGGTGAATTCGGAGTATGGAAAGTAGGTCAATTCGTGATAAGTGATACGATGACATTGTTTTGAAAAAAAAAATACGGTGACAGAAATCTAGCTAGTTTACAAAGGTAAGTATTGTATATTCTTATGGAGAATCTAGAGATGTTAAAAAATACACAGATTTAGTGACCTTTTAGTTATTTCACTTTCATGTCAATGGCGCCAAAACTGAGAAAATGTATTAAGAAGAATGCATATGCTAGGTACGCTGGAGATTTAAAATATCAACCATTTGAAATAATAAAAATAGTACAGAAGGAACATGTTTTATTTTCACCATATAAAGAGAAACATTTTTTTTTTTAAATATACATTTGATATGGCGGTCCATTCGGATGAAAAAGTAAATGTTTTATTACGAACTATTTTCTAGTAGATTCAAGAATAATGTTAAGAGAATTGCCAAGTGAAAGGAAAAAAGTGCCACAAACCAAAAGAATAAAGCCTGTCTAGCACGATTCAATCCTATGCTAAAAGCTTCATTCATTTATATTGTGGATTGATTGCTCACAAATTGACTTCATAATAAGAAATAAAGTACGGCTCATTTTAGCTTACGAGCTCACTTCATCGGAGAATACATCAATGTTACTGAAAACTGAAAATTAATGTACAATATTGATACATGTACTCGAAAAGTAGGGAAAAAATTTTTTTTTTCTTGGGACAGATCATGAGTTTAGAAACTACCGACATCTTGGATAACAATAATACACCTCTTATGGACTGTGGCGCTGTTCATAACCTGAAAAGAAGGAGGGTAGATGACGAATATACAGAACAACCCCCGGAAACAACTCCCTTATACAGTAAGTACTTGTCCACATATATTTTAAGTATTCTATGGTCTTCACCGAATTATTAGAGTCACAACTTTTTGGTTATTTGTACTCTAAAAAAATCAGTATGGGAAATCGATATATATATATATATATATATATATATATATATATATATATATATATATATATATATATATATATATATATATATATATATATATTGAAAATCGCACAATAAATTCAAGTTGCTAATACATGTACATATATATAAGAGGCAATGCAAAAACGTAATTTTAAGAAAAGCCTGGTTTATTTCTTTAATTACAACTCTGGTGATTATTAAATAACTGATGCCATGTTTATTTAAAAAAAAAATACTGAATTTTTTTTCTAAGGGAAGCATTTGATCCCAATTAGTCGAAACAGCAGTGTTTTCTCAACAACAGACTGGAAAGACAGTGGTACGGCCATTTTCTGCCCTGTCACGCATGATTTGTTTCTGAATATTCATAAATATGACCAGATCACCACTTGCCAGGGGAATTTCTTCGTTGGGAATGTAGAAGGGAATTACGAGAAGACTATTAGAGGTATACAACAAAAGAACATCAAAAGCATCAAACACACATTGTCTATTCGTAAAAACAAAATTCTAAACGGGATAATTCAGTGAAATATTAGCTATTTTATATCCCCAGGCGATGTAGTTCACCTCTGGAAACACGACAAAGTACAACGACAGTTTTACATTGCGCAATCCTTACTCTTCGCCGTGCCACAGGTAGAAATTGTATTAGAAGATGTAAATGCTCAATTCATGAATTTGATGGACATATTGAAAATGCACTGTTAGATGTAAAAGCTTAAATATATTGAAATTGATTTAGTCGTTTTATATGTTGATGCATCTTGTTAATTAAGCTATCTTGATTGCATAAGAAAAATAAACAACGTATGAAGTTGTTCACCACTGTCCTAGTTATAAGTTCTGTGCAAACATTAAGGTGCAGGAAATCACTAATAGTCATATCCTAAACGATTCAGATTTAACGACTAGGATGTTGATCAATTTAGCTTCCTCTTCGACATAGTGAATTTCACGTTCAGTTTAACAAACGAAATTAGATCTCGAAAATAATTAAAAGGCTTGTGGAGACGGTTGTGTAGCCAGATAACAGTAGATGGGTTAGAAAAAGAAAAAAAAAACCAGTCATATAAATAAATAAATAAATAAATAACGAAAATGTGATCTAGAAAATGATTAATAATTCGTGTAAAAGGAGGTAAAATATGAATTATCCATGTTTTATCTCTAAACATTTAGTAAAAGCATGCAAAAGCTATAATTTATGCTCAAATGTTGGTTCAAACGAAGATAGTACAGGGCTACAACATTGAGCTAGTATGGGAAAGGATTTCTGTCGGCAACAGAGTATGATGCTGAAATATTCTTCTCAGGAAAAACGTCTACGCCTTTAAGATACCACGTTTTTGACTTTTCCTACCAGATTAAGACGATAGCTTTCGCGCAATTTGTGCTTATAAATCAACGTTAATGAAATGACATCACATATTCATATATTATCAATCAGAATGGATGACTCTAGGAACAACCATATGTTGTAAATTTAAGTTAGTTCAAATTATGCCCGTCCCTCTCAAAATACATGTATACCCCACATCCGAGTCCAATATGTAGAAAGATAAATGTACTTCTGGAAAGACTCTGGAAGTGTATTCTTATAGCACGAGAGTCAAATAATGCACATGTCATTCTCATGTTTTGTACGTTTGTTTAAACCTGTTTGAGTACTCGGATAAGCTCTTTTTTCTTGTTTTCTTTCAGGATTTTGCCATTATGCAGAAAATTTTACATTCCGTATGAATGCTGAAATGCAATAGCAGGTTTCACATCACCTGTTGCCATAAACCACCATTCTCTGTATCATTATTCCATAACCAAAGCCTCATCATTTCTTATCGATATACCAGTACATGAGGAAGGCTTACAAACCTCTTACCATTACACGTGAAATACATGGATGCTTACAAAGCTTTTTCCACACTATATTCATTTTGGAAGGAATTGTTCATGAAGATGTGTGTGTGTGCGTGCGTGTGTGTTAAACTGTTTTAGGAATGTAGCATTTTTATTACACATTACACATATCACAAAAAAGTATAACTTATTATGGTGACGAATAAGGGCTGATATTAAGAAGTTAAAATTCATTTGTGGAAACGAAATAAAAATATTTGACCAAAATTTTATTTGTAAATAAAGACTAAGTTAAATTTTATTCACCGTCGGAATTAATTCGGTACTCGTAGTGCCAAACACTGCTAAGGAGATGAGCGAACAAGGCGTGCAAAATGCCTATAGCTTCAAATATATAAAAGTTAATTTGTGATTTAAGTATATTGAGAGTAAAGGTCTTATCACTGAAATGTATGAAATTTTGATGAAAAAAACTCTGCTGCAGAAAATTCCTTCGTCGAAAATCATTCTATGATTTTTTTTTTAAAAAAATGTGGTATTCTTCGGGTTCGTTTGGTGTCATAAAAGTGTATTTTTAAGGTATAGTGGGTCTTTGCTCCATGTTTTGTTAACCAAAAATGTATATTTTTATACATACTTTGAGTGTAGAAATCTTTCAAAAAAATGGAGCGAAGACCAACTCAAATGGAAAAATTGAGTTCAGTATGAAGAATGGGCCATTTTTGCCCCTGTTTGGTGTATGTATGTCTTTCATTGACGAATAATTTCATTCTTTTTAGATTGTTGCTATTTGTGGATATTTTTACATAAAGTATATGTTAATGTTAAATGAAATATCTATATAAGAATTTTTTTTCTTATTTGAGATTTAATTTTCACTTTCTTATTTGTTGCACAATAGGCATTTTTCTCGCCTTGTTCATCCATATTCTTTGATATCTCAAATATACTAGTACCCGATTTTCCATATAACGTTACATGCACATGTATAGTCTAAAGTTATTGTTATCATCAAAGTTATTGATGAAGATAAAGGAACCATATCGTCTGCTACTTTATATCAGTACATGTAATAGTAATCTAAATAAATTAAGTATATTTTTCACTGAATTTTTAAATTACATTGTTTATATCATATCTCTGATATAATACGTATGGTGCTGTGTCCTATAAATATACCAACTTTGTGTTAACCATTAACGGCTGCAACTGTACCCTAACCCAAGATGGCGTCATTGAGATAATCGTTTTTGTTTGTATGGTTAAACCTGAAAAATTGTGTAATCCTTGTCTGTCATGATTGAAAATAATTTTAATTCAGCAGGTCAGCATTTCATTATAATTGTGTACATGTATTATTAATACCTGATCATCTTGTGGAAAATAATCTCACTTGTTTGATAATTAAAAGTTATAGTAAGTACCATAATTTTAAGAGCTTGGATGACATATACCTTATGATCCTGCCATATATATATATATATATATATATATATATATATATATATATATATATATATATATATATATATATATATATATATTACCATGTGCTTTGCCAGTCCTTTAAATACTGAAGTGCCTTTTAATATGTCATTTATAGTCAGAGGACTTTAAATTTACCGAATGACTAATAATTGTTGATCTACGAGTACATGTATAACCTTGTTAATTTGTATAGTATTGTAGTTTGTTCATTTGGCGTATGAATTACATGTATAGAGAGAAACGAGAGAGAAATTTGATCTCGAACAGTTATAAATTACATGTTCTTAAGTATTAATCCAGATAGTATATAGCAAAGAATTTTAAAATTCAGTTTTTGATTTCGATTAAAAATATCGAGATCAAATTACTCTACTGCTGTATTCGATCTATTGTGTGGGTCATGTGCTGAAATTGCTTTGATAGTTTTGTAGTTAAGATTTTCACAATAACAGTTCTTGCACCTAGTGCATGAACAAAACTAGCTGGCACTGCGCAACAACACACATTCAAAATGAATAAATGGTGTTTGCTAAACGATTATCGTTTTTCATTATTAGTCGATCTCTAGATGTGCCAGACCGTTGACAGACTATTCGGTTCAGAAGGAATTGTATGCTTTGTTCAAGTTTTGATAGAGAAAGATAAGTAAATAATTCTAGCAGGAAAATGTTACCTCTCAATGCTGACTCGTGAAATTAGTTTTTGTAAATCCAAAACAAATTATGCAGAAAGATTTTCTCATTACTTGTTGAGTGAGATTTATTGAACATTTTTATCTGACGTGTCAGTATAATTAATCGTCGTGAAACCTATAAGCAATTTTTTGCGCGGGTAAAAAAAGTAATGTAAAATCTTGAATGAATAAATTTCTCTAGCGATGATAGAACGCGTCTGGATCTAAAGGATCGTCACTGTCCAATAACTGTTGAAGGCGTTTTGAGGACACGATGTTCCCCAATTTGCGACTCCTTTTATCCCTTGATTTTCTTCCCGGTAGCACCCCTGGGACAGGGGATTCTCTGTCCATTTCCTGCAATCGGCTTTTGCGTGAGAATGCACCAAATTCACTGAAATCACTTGTCCGTGAAGAAATAGTGTCAGCTACATCAATGCTTGTAAGTTCATTTTGAAGAAAAGTTGGGTCTTTCCAAAGACTTGTCAAAGACATGTTTGTGTTTTTTGGTCCATTTTGAGACGTTTGGTCATTGTCAGTGCGGTCAGTTTTGGCACGATATAAGGAGTACACTTGATGAAGGGGAATACCCTTCAGTCGGAAATAAGCTTTCTGACGTTCCACGTTTGTTGTTCCTCGGACTGTGTGGTCCATCTTTCTTCTTACGCCATGCCTATGAACTTGTAACTGTGGAAGCCGTAGTCCGTGTTTGTTTTTGTCCATTTCTTGCGGTTCTTTGAAGACCGTGTTTCTGGGCCGCTGGACACTCCTCATGGTGTTGTATTTTACGGCACTGATTCTTGATCCGGGAGGGAAGCTGTCATGAACATAAGGGAGCTGGGTGGACGACACCCCGACGAAATCGTAATTCAGCTGGGACATCGTCAGGCATTAATCCCCTCAATTCAATTTTACTAAAGTACGCAAAACAAAAATAAATTCCAATGCAAGTCTCGCCAACAAATGAGAAAATGAAAATTATTTTCTTAAATCAATATTGAAAAAGCACTGATCGCTTGTGGATATCCATTGAATGTCAATTTAATCCTTAGAAGATAATAACCTAAATCTCAAGAGTTTGTAAATTCATCTTCGATCTCGAGAATACCGATATGTATTTTATTTACCCAACGTGCTCCGGAATCCTCAAAGGCAAAAGCCCCTCATCGCTGTTCACCTGTCCGTGAGAGTTTCCAGCACTATTTATGAGCGGTGCTGTAAATCAAAAGTACACCTTCTTTGGGTAAGACCCAAGCCATATACCTAATAAGAGTTGATGAATCGCTCAGCAAGTGGTGAATAAGTCCAAACTTTTTAATTTACCTGTTTTTATACTTTATAAGCCCTCGACACAAAAAAGGACTCAAATCATTCATTATTAATGCATACCAGTGTGAAGGGCCTATTCAATCCTGCCTTCAATGCGTACTGTATCGGAGCATTGTCCGTCTGTGGAGCTCCTAAGTGATAACCCTTGTTCTGCGTCATCAGGTTTGTTCCCATATACAGAATTCCCACAACAACTAATTGTTAACGCTTCTGATTTTGAAAAAGGCGATGAAAATTCTGTCAAAGTGTTCTATAGTCTGAATTTGAAATATGATTACTGAGATTATGACTATTTACAAGATTTATTGATCATTGGTCCTAAAGCTCTATAGAGTTTGAGTTCCAGAATCAGTGGAGTATAAGAGCTGCATTTTAAATACATATACATGTAGTAATTTGGAGAAAAGACATCATTCCAAATGAACCTCTTAAGGTCGGTGGCCCATGATTACCTGTTCCTGTCCATTGTTAACTTTTGAACATTTTTTTAAGGGGAGGGGGGTAGTAGTACCAGTTAAGGATAGATTTTTTTTTTGTCAGTTGAGGACAGATAATTTATTTTCTACGAAAGCCCATTGAGCTCATTTTCGTAGGTAAAAAAATATATTTTTCGCGTTATAACGCGAAACTTTCGCGAATAAAGGCGAAACTTTCGCGTTATAACGCGAAATTATACATATATAGTCATGTTACTCAGAAACCTGTGATCTTGACTGACAGATTAAAAACATGAACGCAGAGGGGGACTTCTATGAATTTATAAATGACATTTCTTCAGAAGATGTAAAAGAGAATTGATGCGAGAAATGGATAGATTAGTGTTGATTTTGCATTTAATCTCAAAACCCTACTAATCAATTAAATGAATATTCCTTTAAAGATCTTCTTGTTTTTCACTTGTTGAATCCAAGAAATTCTATAGACTAATTTTTTTTTCTCAGGAAGATCTCCATTCGTTGCTTTCTTTGAATAAATTGTCAATGTTTTCGTAAGTAATGGTATGACCAATTGATGCAACCTTAAAATACAATGTTGTATTTCTACAGTGAGTCTATCGGAGATGAAATATTTGAAACAAATATTTGTCATCCAATTTTCACATTAGGTTACTCATGTGATGTGACACAATTGTTCCGTGAAATATACAAATTTACCTCATTGTTGTCAATTTTCTGAGATCTTTTATTTCAAATTCTATAGAGAGTGTTCAATCTAATTAAAATTAGACTTGTATTTTCGCTCCTCTACTATACGCTTCAACACTTGTATTGAACAACACTGAGAAAGACAAAATGTGACGGCAAAAAAAGATTTAGAAAGAGGAGAGACACATTCAATGGCAGCTCGTGATAATCCAAGTTCAAAATAGTCTTTCGTTTTTCATTGTAATGAATAAACTAGATCATTAAATTAAAAGAAAATGGAGACTTATGCAAATGTCTCTGTTTTACAGGGAAAGTTTTGCGTTATAATGCGAAAGTTACGCGTTATAACGCGTAAGTTACGCGTTTATTCGCGAATGTTTCGCGTTATAACGCGAAAAATATATTTTTTTACCTACGAAAATGAGCTCAATGGGCTTTTGTAATTTTCAACATTTTTGAGGGCAAATTATTTCCACCCCCCCCCCCCAATAAAATGGTCGCCCTCTTACACCCCTTTCATTCACACGAGCCTTTGTCAATGTCTAAGTTGAAACAATCGATACGAAGACCAGTACGTGACTTTCAGTTCTAGTTCCGGGCGCTTAGCGAAGGAACGGTCACTACCTATGTTTACGTCTTAGGTTTGACGCGGCGAACGAGAATCGAACCCGAGGCTCCAGATCACGAGGCGAAGGCTATACCACTAGGCACTAGGCTACCGTAACCGGTTTGAAAGTTTTGAAGATTTTCTATCTACAAATGTATATTATTATTAAAAAAGGAAACCCTCAATTGTGGCCACAACCTAACCCCACAGTTCATGCAGATGCTTGCACATCAGAATGAATAATTTTGGCCCAGCAGTCCCTTAGAAGATTTTTAATGAACTAATGACCGCATACTAGACCCAAGGACAACGATTTAAAAAGCTTGAATCTACACTATATAAGCTAAAATTTGTCTTTTCTGGTGTTTATGCAATTTGAATCGAGTTAAATGACAATAAATTGTCAAACACATCAATGAATATGCTTCTTTTGACATTCAAAAAATATATATGTATATAATAGGGTACCATTTGGCAACGCAACATGTAATTTATCTGAGTGACTCAGTTTTCATTGTTCCTTTTGCGTTGTATGCAGATTGAAAACTTTTGAAACATTTTCAGCTTCCCATGAATGGCTGAACAAATATAAACCAACTTTAATATGTATCTTTCACACGCGGTTTCGGTGCTGTCCAATCTAATCTCCAAAGGTGCACCGACTGAAGTGATCAAGCCCAGTCCGATGAGTTTCTGTCTGTATTCCAGCTACACCGACGACCCATAAAACCCTTCATGAGGAATGCCTTACAATTCCTGGACTCCCAGTGGAAAATATTACACTTTCCAGACTGATGGAATAACATCTCTTATTTTCAACTTCTCACCACCCAATCTTCCCTTCTTCAACTTCTTCAACACAAGCCTCCTGGCATTTCCATAGGAGCCCAACTGATGATATCCTCATTCTCCTTCGGTATCCGTCTTGCTTCAATAATCGTCTTCATGCTGGCTTACAAATCGTTCATAAAAATTCTGATATGAGATACACCTATCTTCATCCTTCGTATCTTTATTCTTCTTTTTCATCCAATTTACTAACATGTTCATGAACAGGATTACTGGAACAGTACAGCCTGTGACGATTTCAACCTCCAAGTTTCGCAACGATGTTGTTCAGTCTAAATCGTGAAAATTAATGGCAGTTTACCGAAATAACTCTTAAACATCTTCTGAATTTTATCTGATACATGGTATTGCTGTGGTGTGAGTTCGACTAG